ACACTGCGTCCTGAAAATGAGTGGTACGACGAAATAAAAAAAACTAAAAATTGTTTACACTTTCGAAGTTTTTAGAAAGAAAATAATTCCTGCCTGACAGAAATATGTTAAAAATGGCCTTCTTGATTCAAAGGTGAACCATGATTACATGATCAATTGGATCCATAAATTATCTTAAGGGGGAAGAGGTGCAGAACAAAAAAAAGATATTTATGACTCTCTGTTTTATTTAATATATCAATTTAGCTAGAAACAATAATAAAACCTACAATTTTTAACATTACTACTGTTTCTCTAAAACTTATTTCATATGAAAAATAATAATATTTTGTTCAGGTTAAAAATATGGAGGAGACAATATAATCCTTTTCCTAAAATTAATTCTTTCTTTATCGTCTTATTTTCTGGCAATTATCAACATAAGTATAAGTCTGTGGTACTAGCCCTTTTTTATCAAATTATTAACATCCGCCTAAAACTTCGTTAAGAGCTTCATCTTATCGCAATTTTACAGATCTACGAAAAATCTCAGATGTGGGGCGTTTTCTCATTAAATTAATTAATTAAATAAGGTAATGAAAACTCATAAATACCAATTTGTTTTCCACTTGAATCGTGGAGAATGGGGTAGCTCAGTAGCTGGGTACGGAGCTTCCAATGCTAAAGGTCCCAGGTTCGAATCCCGGCTCAAAAAGAAAAATGATTTATTCTGTTTCATTGGCCGTGGGGCGATACTGGGTAGCTAGACGCTCCTGAGGCACACCCAGTCTCTATAAAGTGAATATCCTTAATTAAAATAAATAATTTTGGGGGAAAACCTGGCAGTTTAGCGTGATATCGGGCAAATCACCTCTTTGCACGACGATAGATCAAGAAACACTGCTTTTCCTAAATAGTACTGAACCCAAGACCCTTTATGGGTTGTAGTGGTACAGGATTTTATTTTATTTTTCCACTTGAATCGTAAGATAATGTGATCAAAAAATGGCAAAAAATGTGGCCTACAAAAATATTGGGTCGTTTAGTCTATATAACCTCGCTACTTTGAGGCGTTGGGGGTGGATGTTACACTAAACCGCCCAATATCTTTGCAGGCCACTTTTTTCCTCGATTTTGTGATGATTTTATAATTCAAGTGGAAAGCAAAGGGGTGTTCATGAATTTTTAGTAACTAATTAGATAATAAATTTTTACCGATCTCCAGGTTGAAAAATTCCCAATATCGAGAATTTTCGTAAACACAAAAGTTGAACATTATGATGAGATGAATGCTATTCACGAAGTTAAAGGCGTATGTTAATAATTTGATAAAAAGGAGCCTGTACCGCGGACCAAAAGATTGCTTGTATACAATTAAATAAATGCTATAAATCACGTACTTTTATATATATACATGCTGTTCAAAAGTGATTTTGAATGATATACTCTTTAGAAAGATAACTATTTTTAGCTAAGATTGGAAACTCATAACTTCATTGGTTGGGTGAAATCCTTCACTGCTCGCCGGTCGTTCCATAACTCCCCTCTTTCATAAGTGTGATGTGGTGGTGTTTTGGTATTGAACTTGCCACATTCATCATAAATAGTGCCATTTCGCGTTCCCACCGTGGATAATCGATATCAATGCGATGTTAAACCCGAATGGTTATCGATACCTTCATCTCTTGTCGAGGAAAGATCATGTCGTCATGTCTTTTTCTTCCTCCTTATTCTTCTGAACCGAACAGAGTGGGCATTGTTGTCTGGCCCTGGTTATAACAATGTCTCCATCGTAAACTTCGGTTTTCTGCGTTGAAGTTGAAGGAAAACTTCAAACGTGTCCCAAGGAAAACGAATGCCGAAGGTTGATTTGAATAAGCAGAGATCCTTGTCGAAATAAAATTCCTGACCATCAGACACATTGTGGTTCTCCCATTTTCATCTTTGTTCAGTTTCTGTTGCAATAAGTTACGTGAAGTGAAAAAAAAAATCATGAGAATTAGCTAAGAGGAAAGAGTACTGGATCCATGTGGCGATAGAAAGAATTGGGAGGAGAAAACAACAAACGAACAATTTGACCACTTAATGATGCGATTGTTTTTAGAATATCGCTTCAAAACTGGCAAAGAAATATCCAGAGATCTTGCAGATTCAATATCAATCGGAAAAAAAAATAAAGTGGGAGTGATGCAATTTCTATGACCATGACTGTATACATACATTGGCCTAAGTACTTGAAGTATTACAAAGAGTTAGCATTTATTATGAAAATAGGTGCTGAATTTATCATCTTCATTTGATTCAACAATCTAATAACTGCTGTTTAAAAACTCATAAATCAATTGCTTAAAAACTTAAATAATGTATCGTTGATCAAAATGTATCATTGATTTGCTAGAAGGTAACGCTTAGTATGACTCATTGCCAGCTCCAATGCCCAGGGGTCGTGTCACATTGGAAGAGATGCCGAAGTTTCTGCTCAACGACGAAGCGTCAATCTCAGCGAATCACTTTCACTCAAATCGGTTATTCTCATCTCGTTGCCTGGACGAAGATTCATACTTCATCCAGCCCATCATGTTTCATAACGCGATTGCTTTGTCGGTAGTGACAATCATTGAGCCGTTCTCCGGTTGTACCATCAAGATAATATGACTCTGAAGATTGGGAAATTACCAAAATCATTACAAGTATAGAGCTATTCTTTGAGAGCTGCCGAAAGGAAAAATTGATATGAAAATTGTTTTTATTCTTCCAGGATCTATCTTCTTAATTTCTGTTTCTATTTTCAGTTGTTATAGATACTCATTACGTAACAGTTAAATCACGATTGATTAAACTGTTTTCGAAATAAATAGAAAACAAAAATACATAATGCATTAGCCTGGTTTTATAATTCTATGCCTTATTTATTATGTATTAATTGAATTTAATTTATTTGCTTCTTTATTTTATTTGTTTATTTTCGTCTTATCAATATGAGGGGGCATACCTTGCGCTTTTTACTTTTTACCTTCAGTGAGACAGATTGTCGTATCTGGCAATGAAAAACTATTTATTCCCCAAAGCAGTTTTGAGTTCGGAACTAATGATTTTTTAGCAAAGTAATCTCCAGTTTTATTTGCGAAAATAATTAAACAAACACTATGAATATTAATCCCTTTGGTAAAATGTCTATGAGGTATCATTGTATTGCGACTACGTTAAAAATATATCTATTAGTTTTTTTTTTTTTTTTTTTTTTGTCTAGGTCTATGAGATGACTTTGAAACACCTATATAATTATATACTATAATATACAATTATATGTATACATTTTTCCCACTTTAAATCATCGAAGGGGAGGAGGGAGGCAGAAGAAACTTTGTAGAGCTTGTAGGCCCTGTGCTCCTATACTCGGGTCCCAGGTTCGAGTCCGCAGGTTATTATTTATTCTGTCACATTAGCCATGGATCGTCCCTGGGATCGTGATACCCTACTGGGGCACACTCTGGCTCTATAAAGTGTGTACTATTAGTTAAAAATTAATGAGGAAGAAGCCTGGCGGTTGAGCGTGATCTCCGTCAAATTACCTCTTTCACAACTGTCCACCAAGAAAGAGTACTTCCTTTCCTTTTTTTTTTTTTTTTTGTTTTATCATTGAAAATTATACTTCGAAATAGCCCCGAAGTCTGAAAACCATTACATTTAGTTGACTAAAAAATCTCTCTTTGAAAGAAATTTAAATTGTATAACTGTCCTACTTCACGCTTGACTTTTCAATACCAAAATAAATTATTTTATCTAAAACATTAAAATAAAATATATTAACATTTTGAAACTAGGAGTATTGTTAGTATGTCATCAAATTCTTTTCTTTTTTTTTTTTCGTACAATATTAAGCTGGCCAGTGGTGTAATTTCATCTTATTTGTCTCTGTATATTTATGGAGATATTTAATAACACTTTTCTTTCATTTATTTATCCATTTATAAATAGCTTTTAAGCAGCAGTGAAATATGGAATTATAATATTTTAAAAATAATTATTTTATTTAACATAAGAAGTATGAAATACTAAGAATGAATTCTAGAAAAGGATGTACTAGCTTCCGAGCAGTGGACCGAGACGTTGATGGGAACGTAACATTGCATTAGATCTCACCAAGGAATTCAATTGAGCTTTGCAAATAATATATTTGAGAATCACTTTCAGCTGAGGCGCGATACATAAATGATAAAAAATAAATAAAAAAATTGTATGTAATTGTAAACAATTCTTATCGTCATCTTCTCTCTTACAAACATCTGTTTCTGCAGACCAACACGCCGCAAACGGCTTTCAGTAGTAGTGAATTGTTAATGAGAAGAACTGTGAGAAAAATGTTTAATTAATTCAACTGCCTAATTGTCCTAATGGCCTTTGTATGAGAAAACTTATAAAGTACAGTTAGTTGTAACGGTTTTAATCGGAAAAATATTTTATGAATCCGAATGCGATTGAGGTAAATCGGAGAACTACAACAGATATCCATTTACTCGCTTTACTGGATTGGTCTACAAAGGAATTGATTTAAATGGATTATCCTTTGTTTTTAAACGCTACCTGTATCTACTTATATTAACATTTGAATTTCCGGATTTGATTGCAAGATATTACTTAGGAACTTGGCACACTATTCGAATTCATATGTATACATTTATTCACTTGGTTTACTTATTATTATCATTATACAATTTATTAGTATTTCCTTTATTTTAAAACCACCTTTCACTTCTTGCCTGGTGATTACAATAGCGGGGAAATTACGGAATTACTTCACCGATTCCTGTTAAAGAATGTTAGTTGGTTCAGTTGCATCCTCCATCAGTGCAGTTTTGTCATTCCGCCGCTCTCTTTCATAGCGCTACGTCTCATATATATATATATATATATATAATACAAAAAATATATAGATATAAATATTTTTATACTGCAACAAACATATCCATTTGTCATAAACTATATAACATTTATTACATTTTATTTATTCTATGTTCTAGGATAGCGCCTGGTTTTCCCGATCCGAAATCATGTCTTCTTCATCAAAAGCTGCAGGTATGTCAATACTTCAATTACTAAAAGTAATAAAAAAAATAATAAAATTAGCAATAATAAATACCGTTTTCAGTTGCTTTCTTATAAACTTATACTTAATATTTCCATATTATTTAACAATAACTAACAGAGATAATATTTGAAAAATAGGAATTAACTACTTTTAATAATAGAGCTAATTAAAAGAAAAATTATTCATCTGGCTTAAATATATGTACATATAAAATAAATTCTAATTTTTACATTTTTTAAAAATATAAATATATTTTAATTTAAATATAGTTAAATAATATATAATTCAAAATTATTTAGCATTATTTAGAATATGTTTAAAATTAATGTATATATCATCGTTACAATTGCAAACTATTGATTATGAAAAATTGTATTTTTTTTAGTTCAGATTTCTAAGAATTATAATTGTAATTAAATAATTTTAAACAGTGGTTTTAAATAATTCAAACATTCATAATATCAAATATTTCAGTGGAAATTGAAACATTCTCGTTGTTTGGGGTGAATTGATAACGATATTAGAGTGGTGATTTTCAGATTCGATAGATTTCCATTGTATCGACGATATGTAAAAAGTTAGATTGCTTATAAATTTTTGTTGTGATGCAGATGATCAATTGTTGCATCGAAAGAAGGAAAAGGAGTGAGGAAGCTGCCCTGGGCAAGAGGGAATCAGGTATAACTTAACTATGTATACATGTAAATAAAATTTTAAATAAAAATTATTATTTTTTCTTAAAGTCTATAAAATTATACTATTTCTAATCCTCAAAAGAGATTTAAAATTTTTATTTGTATTAGTTGATTTCAATACAGTGGCTTTTACTTCATTTCGTGATTCTTCTCGTTATTTCCAGGCTGCATGTATGTAGAAACCAATATTTTATTGCCTCAGTTACATTTTTAACAATATCCGATTTCAATGCCAACAAAAACAATCTAAAATTAGAAAAGAACGTTATTAAGTATACTTACAAAACTACCTAAGCAGGTTTGAAAATATTACTAACTTTCTTTGTACCGATCAAATCGATGACCAATATTTAAAACATGATCCATTTAAAAAAAAAAGTTTGAATCCGTCCAGTAGTTTTCGCGGTTAGCAGTTTCAAACAAAAACTGACTGTCCTTTTATAAATTGATATGATAATCTTTTCTACGATTTATTGAATATTGTTTATATTAATCAAAGCTCGTTTTTAAACTTCTAATTTAATTTCAATAAAGATTAAATAAAATAATAGTTAATGAAAGTAAACTAGCAATTACCGGACGGTGCTAGGATTCCTTAGAAGAGGAAGGACCTAGATAAGGACCTAACGGTTCCTCTGCCTCTGCCATATTTATTACTGCTCCAGAGAAAGTCCTTATTCAATGTACTCGTATATCCTAGAGAAAATAGATTATTATTTTTTTTTTAAAGTAGTGTGTAATCTAACCTTATTTTGAACAATCTTTTGAGATTGAATATCTTGTTCCTTTTGTATAATAATGAATGAATCAGGTAGTTTCATTCATGGAATATGAAAATTAAAGTAGTTAATTAATGTAATTTTAAATATAGCTTAGTAAGCTATTGAATAAGCAACTGTTAATATTATATTATATGTTATGGTTTGGAGAGGATTGATTTACAGGACAAATTTGAACTGCAAGAAAATAATCCTGCACTTCTGCAATAATCCATAAGAAAGTTTTTATTTTTATTTTTTCATTTTAACCTAAAGTTACTGATTTATTATTTGTATACAGAGTTGCTGAGTTTTTGTCATTACATTCATTGAAATTTCGTTGTATAGTACTTCAGTAAACTACTTAAAAGAAAGAAGCCTGTAAACAAATGGACTTTCTTTTTTTTATTGTAGAATTATACAATATATGATTTTTTTTTTCTGTTAACTACAGAAAAAAAATATGTATAGTTAGCTTAGGATTACGATCGTGAACATTTCGTAGGAATACGAGTCCAAATAACCAAGGTTCGTTAAATAGTCGGTATGTATATGAAGAGCTTTTCACAAAGACAAAATCGCATAAGAAGATGAAATTACGTATTTAAGTCAAGTATGTGCTTGAGATGTTTTTCGTTAAAATCTTCTTCCTAGTAAAAGTGATACTTGTCTAAGAATCACTGTATTTAATAGATTTTACACTTCTTTTTTTTTTTTTACAATTTTCTCGAAAACGGCTCCAAATTTTTCTTGCACTCATGTGTTCAGTGAACAATTAGATGTTCTTTATTATCATCTTGGTTTTATACTTAATGAAATAGGAGGCTTGGATGGATTCCTCTAAAGTAACGTTTAGTTGTTTTGTTTTTTTATGTTTACTTTACTAAAAAAGGAAAAAAATGAGGAATATTTTCCCTGTTCAAAACAGTTTTTCGGGTATTATAGCAGTAATATGCCATCGGAAAACAGATTATTTTGGAAAAATAATATCGTAAGCTTATAATTTCGTACAAGGTAACAGTGAGTGACAAAATAATAATGATTAATGATTTTTATTTGTATATTATTCGGAGGATGAATGTTTCTACGAAAAAAAAATGTAATTTCTATATAGACTAAATAGAAAAAAAAAAAAAAATGATTTCAAGCTCGAAAAATAAAAAATGTATAATACACCGAATTGCACTTTCGCAATTCAACTATTTAACTGTATTTTAGTAAGTGAAAAAGTACATGCTGCTAAAAATATATCTACTTATGCTTACGGGTGGTAAAACCATATCGCTACTTATAATAAGCAGACACTAGTATTTCACATCAAAACTTTTCCAGTATTAAAAATCTCAAAACAATAACACTGATATTTTGAAAAAAATCAATTATTTGAGTGTTATCAACTGTAAAAATGTTAAACAAGGCCATTCCATTTTTCATACATTTTACGGAGGATTTAAGACATCTGACTATAAGCCAATCTGTAAATATATTCATCAATGTTACTATTTTCGATGATTGAATTCAAAAATCAACATCTTATTTTCTTACAGTAGAAATCCTAGAAATGTGTTCTACTACATGTTCAGGTCTGAAAACTAATTTGGTAGACGAAAACAGGATCATTTTTTTTTTTATTAAAGGCGTTGTATATTTTTAGATGAATTTTATGTGTATTGTCTATTCATTTTATATTTCAATTTGGGCCTTAAATTCAGATAAGTTAAGACCAGTAATTATCATTTTTATGAGTCAGGGAATGTTTGTTATGACTAATTGGTGAATAAACAAGTAATTTAATAGCTTTGGTTCACTCCCTAATTAATTATCACGTCCGATTTCTTTTTTTCAATTACGCATCCATTAATTACAATATCAAAAATGTGCTCTTTCTCCGTCTGATTGCCTGTTCAGAAATCGGTATTAGAAATTTCTCTTTGCTATGAAGAAGTAAAAACAGTGGTAGTCCTTTATTTAACAGCATAGGTGTAGATAGCTATATCCTTAGAGGGCGTAAACTAAAAGCAGTGAAGTGAATATTCGATTGATTCGTTTTTCATTTCATATAAAATTAATTATTACCATATTTTATTTATATCAAAATATTGTTTCTTAAATACTTAAAAGCCAAAAGTTTTAATTAGTAGTTTTTATATAAAAAACTCGGAAACCCATTCATTTTTAGTCAATCTATACAAAATTTTAGTAAATTTATCATATTATTGATATGATATTTATTATTATTTTTTAAAATACAAATTATTTTTAATATTATAGTTTGGCGTGTTTCCTTTTGTATTCTTGTTGATAAACCTAATTAAATCTTTCTCAACCAGTACTTAAGATTATCTTGCATTTAATTCCAATTTGTGATTGAAAATAATTTAATAATTTGTTAAATGCACAATCCGACTTATCTAAAAGCCCTATTTTGAAACTTTTCCCTCTGTATATTGCTCGTTTGCTGCTACAAGATTTCATCATTTCAAGATGTGGATTTAAAATTTTCAAATTTATATCGAAGTCAGACAATTTAAAAAAAATAAAAAAAATGTACACTTCGTCTTAGAAACTAAGAAATGACCCTCTACCAGTAAAATGTATACATCATTGAAATTATCCATGTAGTATTAACTCAAAAATCATGATTTTCAAATTACGATGTTGTTGCAGCAAATGAGTAATAAGTTAAGATCTTAATAGAATAATAATTTCATGATTGTTTGTAATGAAAGGATTATTTTATAGTTTCTCTCTCTTTCTTCAGTTGAGTAAATGTTATGTAAATAATACTATTTTGGGAGGAGTGAGAGAGGGAGGGAACAAGGCATATTTGTCACCTTTCCTCGGAGTAGGAAAGCTTTGCTATGCCACTGGAGTTACGCTAATGGGAGTCTGAGATAATGAGAATCTCCAAATATATGTAATCATGTGGTCAGATATGGCCTAATTGTGATTGGTTTTCATTCACTTTTGACATCAAACATTCAAATTTTGTGCTGGCACTGCTTTTACTTCATTAATAAATATACATAATATAAAAATATATATTATTTTATTTTTTTATGTGATTTAGAAATCCCAGTTGTGGTCCACATTAACTGCACAGTGTCCAGGGCCACCTCAACTATTATATGGAACAAGCTCAATTATTCTAGCTTTCTTGTTATTTTCATATTCATGTTTCTTGTTTTCTTTCTTCTTCTATATTTTATTTTAGATATTAAATGATAAAATTTAGATATAGGGTTATAATAATTTTTTTTTGCTGAGTTGTTCTTTTAGTAACTGTATATCTAGATGATTCTTATTCTAGGATAGATTAATGAGACTGATGTGTTATTGAAAATATTATGATAAATACATTTCATGTACTAATTGTTTTCAAGAATTCCTCTGATAGTGGGTAAATATAGTGTGTGGGTGCAAATTTGGTGATTTATTCTTCCGGTATATCACATTACTAAATATCTTGAAAATGGTGTTGTTTTAGAACGGCTTAAAAGAATAAATGTTTAATTGTCTAAAATTTATAGACAGGATACTCCATAAAATAAAGCAGAGAAGCTTTTATATTGATTGATGCTATTATCTGTATTATCTTAAGATCTACTAATATGTATACCCGTCTGACATGTAGTGTGTGTATAGATGAATCAGATGATGAATTCTTTGACTGTGATGAAAATGTAGAGGATGATGCTAAGCCAGCCAGTACAATTCCTATTGGCAGGCTCTCTCAGCATAATTCTCTCAAATTGATCAACACAGGCCAGCCTCTGTACATACCTGTAACACAGGTAAATCTATGTTTATTTTATTTGCCTTACTTGCTTATTTGTTAACTTATTTTTTTTTTAATTCAATCTTTAAAGGAACTTATTAGCAAACTTTAAATTGAGTAATAATTTGGATTTTCTGGTACACCAAGTTTCATCTTTCTTAATCCACAACAAATAACAATACCTATATTCAATGTTTCTCAATTTTTATTGAAGAATAACATTTAACAATAACACAAGAGACATCATAGCTCAATACAATATGTAAGAAGTAGACTGTGATTTGGATCACTCTCAGATTAGAATTAAACTATGTCAGAGATTGAACCGAATTCACACAACCAGGGATCTGAAGTAAAACCAAATTCCAACTTGAGATGAAAAATAAATTCGAACCCTTGGATTCAGATTGCCTCATGGTGGGCCAACACCGGGAGGAAATAGAGAAAGGATTAAAAGAAACAGTTAAGGATGTGATCGGTATTCAGGAGAAACGAAAAGCTAAGGTATGGCTCACAGAAGCATGCAAAAAGGTAGAGGAAAGAAGAAAAGTGAAAGTCCTCTGTCTAACTGCAACTGATCAACTTGCTCAGGACAAGTACACAGCTGCCAAGAAAAAGGGAAACAAAACTGTAAGATCGGCAAAAAGGGAATTCCTCAAAGAAAGATTGCAAACCATTGAGCACAACTGGCAGGATGGAGATATACGCAAATTCTACTCAGACATTAAGAAAGAAAGAGTAGGATATAAAGCGAGAAATACGCAAATGCAAGGAAATGATGGTATTCTGACGTCATCTAAAAAAATTATATTGAACATCTGGAAAGAACATTTCCAGGAACTAAGGGGACCCAATGAACAAAGAAGACATGGACCGCACTGACGACCTTGATCCAGAAGAGGTTAAAAAACCAGATATACTGGATATAGTAATAGCTATCAAAAGGCTCAAAACAAGAAAGGCCCCAGGGCTAGACAACCTACCACCAGAACAGTTTAAAGATGGAGGAGACTACTTCAGAGCCAAGCTACTTAAACTAATCCAGAAAATATGGGAAGAGGAAAGGATGTCATAGTTAAAAGACCTGAGGATTGAAATACGAGCCTAATCTGTCTCTATACTATAGAAAGACTCCATGTATGAGTGTAGTAATTACAAAAGGATAGTATTCCTTCTGGTTGCTTACAAGATAAAGACCAATATCCTACTAAACTGGATATATCCGTATTACGAGAATATAATAGGCGACCACCAAACTGGATTCAGAAAAAGGAAGAGCACGCAAGACCAGATCTTCATCCTAAAATGAGTACTCGAAAAACGATGGAGAGTAGCTCAGGACATCCATGCTCTATTTGTCAATTTCAAAGCAGCCTATGATTCTGTGGACAGGAGCTTCTTTGGAAAATCATGATTGAACTGAGAGTTCCTGGTAAGTTAGTGAAATTGACAAAGGCGCGTATACAATTGACCTCAAATGTAGAGTCCTAATACAAGGAAAAGTATTTGAAGCCTTCAAAGGTCAATTACACTTATCCCTGGGATGACAACCCAGGATACTGAAGAGGACAGAATGATCAGGAGAACAACGGAGTACCCACTGGGAACAGACCTTGCCAGCCTTAGGATAATTGGGTTGTACGAATGGCAGTGGAAAGATAGAGGACTGGTTGAGCCACAGGGCTATACTAAATTGACACGACCATATAAAAGAAAAGTTGCCCCCTAGTAGAGGAGGAATTGCTCTGCATATTCAACCAATGCTTGGATAAAGGGTACTTCCTGAGCAAGTGGAAAGCTGCTGACCTGAGACTGTTATATAAAGGAAGAGGCAAAGGTAAAAAACATCCTGAAGCATACAGACTCTTATGTTTCCTCCTGGTGATCAGTAAAGTACTGGAGCATCTAATACTAACATTGCTGAGATCAGTTCTCCAAGCAGCGAACCACCCACGGCAGTACGTTTCAACAAAGGGAAAGGTACAACAGATGCGTTAGTGCAGATGGGTAGAGATGCAGAGGAGAGGACAGAAAAATATGTAATGATGATCTCTTTCTCAGTGCCCCACATGCAGGATTTCTGACACAGCGGAACACACCGTGCTGACATGCGCAAATATGGACCAACACCGAGCCTGGCTGTACTGGAAAACTGGGCTATACTATCTTGGAGGAAGTATAAGTACGGTACCGGGCTACACCACAGAATCCCTGTTTTTGTTGTTCCTAAGTATATAAATGGAATAAAGAGAGTTGTATCGGTGGGAGTGGCATGTGCAGATTCCTTTGTGGTGGTTCCTTTGTGATGTGCAGAATATGTAATACCTTTGGTATGCCAGAAATGGCTAGGTAGGGTGAATATAGCTGTCATTGGAAGTAATCAAGAGGACATTGAGAAACTCTCTACAACTATGGTAAGAGAGACAGAGCAGATTGGCCTACAAATAAATGAAGACAAAACAAAATAAATGATAATAAGCCAAAAATCCCACCCCAATAACAGGATCTGCATAGAAGGAAAACCATTCCCAAGAGTAGAAAAATTCAAATACCTCGGCTCCACAATAACCTCAGTGAGTGACCAATGGGCAGTAATAGACCAGTGTATAACTAACGTAAACAGACCTTTCTTCTCCCTCTCAAAGGTATTGAAATCCCAAAAAATCTCAAGAAATCACAAATTAAGGGTGTACAATGTTATGATAAAGCCAGTTCTAATATATAGCTGTGAGACCTGGCCACTAGCCAGCACCTTAGAAGTGTAAAAGATTTGAGAGAAAAATCCTCCACATGATAACTGCTTACAGAAATTGGTCATTCAATATCCCATGATATGAATGCATAGACGTTAAGATGGGCAGGGCATGTAATTCATAGCAATCCATCTGGAAGCTGCTACATAACAATGAATGCCTAAATAGAAGGCAAAAAACCATGGAGAAGGCCAGAAAGTAGATGGATCGATAGAATTAACACAGATACAATAGAGCTGCATGCATATAAATGCAAAGAAATAATCAAAGACAGACAGAGATGGAGCAGGCTTGTTAAGGGGGCAAAAGATCTACATGGTCTGTAACGCCAACAGAAAAAGAAAAAGGAAATGAAAAAAAAAATAGTCATTTCTTTATGTGGAATGCATTTACCTCATTATTATTTAATTGATAAAAAATAAGCATTTATATAATTACTTTTTGTTTTTCTATGAGGCTAAAAACTTTATTGTAAGAACTTTTAATGTATGATAAAACTAGAAAAAGAACATTATGTTTAAATTAATAAATTAAAAAAAAAATATTTTTTCCTTTGTCCAGGGTGCCACTCCAAAAACAGAAGATCAACTCGAAGAAGATGCACAAGTTTTGATCCAATTGGGATCTGATGCCGAAGGTTCACAATTGAGAGCAAAAATTATGAGTGCCTCTCTTCTCTCGGACATGGAATCCTTTAAGGTTTAAAGAAAATAATTTGTTTTTAAACTTTCTTAACTCAGTCAAGTCTTTGTTTCTAGTTAAAAATTTTCATTAACTAATGAACTACTTTTTTTTCCCTATTATTATTTATAAGCATGTTACAGGCAGCAAATCCTGGAGCTAGTATAGAAGATTTTATTAGATGGTATTCTCCCCGAGACTGGGTAGAAGAGGAGGGGGAAGATCAGTTTGGGCAGAAGAAAGGTAAAAAAATATATTAACGATAATAAAATTTCACATAAATTACAAGAATTTGTACTGTTTTTGAAGTTTTGTATGAGATTACAAAGGCACTTTTTTGTGAAAACTAAATACGTTGACCCATTTCTTGTGCTAATTCTTTCATGTTTTGAATTCCAAATTTTGCTCTGTTTTCCATTTAAATATCTTACATAATTTTAAGTTTCACAACTTTACTTATCTCATTTTTTTCTCCGTTTCGTAAAGATATAGCCTTTTTATATTTTATTGGATCTATTTTGTTATATTATTTTAATTCTCTTGATTATACTCCAAGGCTCTTTACCCCGAAGTATAAAATATATATTATTTAAAAGTGAGAAGATGGTCCAGAATAAATAAAGACATTATTATTGATTAGAATAATTTCAAAATGAGCTTAATTGTTAATTTTTTAATTTTATTTTGTCTCAATGATGTTCAACTTTGTATGTTCTTATTTCTGGAAATCATATTTCAAGCCAGTGACTCTGGAGTAGATGAATCAGATTTTAAAGATAAAGAATCTTACTATTTTCATATAATATTATTAATTTAGTTTGCAGTGTTGTTGAAAACCATTACTTTAACTAAGAAACCACCATCTATATTTTCCTCATTCTTTTTTTTTTTTTTAATAAGGATTAGTTTGCATGTATCTCTTATTTTTTGTCAGATTTTTTTTTACTGTTTAATAATCTTTCCTATTGAACAACAGGAAAGTTAAGTGCAAGAATGACACTTCCCGGTAACACATGGCTAGAAGTGTGGGATTCTGCAAAACCAGTTCCTGCAAACAGACAAAAAAGATTATTCGATGAAACAAGGGAAGCAGAGAAAGCTCTTCATTTCCTGGAATCCCAGACTCCAGGTATGATTTAATTCCTTATTGTCAATTACATCCAGAAGTATTTATTATTTTTTAAATTACAGTAAATTCATTTGATGTTTTAATATTTTCAGTCATGTTGTTTGTCAAAACTTTTTATCATATTAACTGTTTGCTGCATATCAAAACTAGTTATTTAATACCTAAATTTTAAAATAAATACATAAATGAAATTTATATTCTTGGTTATTAAAAATGGCTTTAAAAAATATTTTCTTAGATTTTAGTCATTATGAGGCTGGATCATCAAAATTAACTTTCTCTTCTTTAACCATATAACGAAAGTAATATATCTGTTGTATCAGAGTAGCATTTGTTTAGAATGCTTTACAAAATTATATGCTTCTGTAATTAGCTATTAAATCAACTTTCAAGACTGTCACTAATATTTGTTAATAGTAGCACATTACCCTGTATCAACCTTTCCCGTTATTGCACATTGTTTTTACAATGATTAGTATCTCTAAATTCTAATGACTTTGGATATAGTTACTAAACTGAAAGCACACATATTGACTGTAGTTCGAATTTGAATGGTAAGTCCCTCAAGGCAGCACTTCAAATGCCAAGGTAGTTTGTCTCGGTGTTAGTAACTGCTGTTTTTGTATTAATGGAACTGCATTTGTAGGAAGTCTGATATGAATATTTGAAAACTTTTTTTTTTTTATATCGTATACTTACTATCTATCATACATTTTTTTGTTGGAAACTTTGAATTACTTTAATATTTGCTTTCTTGGCTATTCTCAGAGTTCTAAACCATTCCGAACAAATATTTGAATTTGCTTATGAAGTCGTAGTTCAATTATAAGCTACAGTTTATATCAATTAGATTGATTAGGAGTGCATCTTATTTGTTAAGTAGATGCTTCGATCGAGTGTGAGTAATCCAAATCAGTTTTTATTAATACATTCCAAGGAAGCCTAACTTTTAAGACAGTTATTCAGACTTTGAATATTTATGTTATATTATCAAATAATAATTAAAATTGAGTTAAAGCAAAATCATAGTACAGTATTTAACAATTGTCCCATATGTTTAAGCATCGTCTGGGCTTATGGTGGTACCAATTCTGGCTCATGCTGCAGTTGAAAAGTTGCATGAAGAAGCAAAAGATATCCAGATACCATCACTGCAGAATACTGTTCAACAAGCTATTAAAAGAGTTGAAGCTCTATCTAGAAATGCTCCAATGGATGTGCACAGATATCAGGTAATAAATGAAAACAAGATTAACTTAGTTTATTCAATCTCTTTGGGTGAATATGACTCTTCTTATTTAATGAACTTATTTGATGGTTAATAATTTTTTTTAAAAATCAGTCAGTAAATTATGGAATTTCATTACAAGCTTGATCATTCCAGTTCCCAATCAAGGAGCTATTATTGATTTTATTTTGATCCAGTAAAAGATTCTTTTTTTTTTTTATTCCTATTCTTGCCCACAGCCTTATTTTATGTTAGTACATTTTTAAATGCTATGGCCTTTTACACAATTATTCTTATATGTTTAATTTTAGAAAAAGTAATTATTATTTATTTTATAATGAGAAAATACCTTTTTTAGTTATTTATTTATATATTTTTTCAGGAGTTGTGCTTTGAATTAGGTTATGCAGAAACAGTCGTTTCTCAGATAAAATCTATAGAATCTAAGTTGGGAAGTGATGAAGCTGCTAAGGAATTTGCATGTAAGCTAGTTAGTGAAGGCGAAACTATTCTGCCTGGTGGCAGTACTGGGTCGATTGCTTCCAAACTCAAAACTATTTTTGTTGATGCTCGTAAGGTGAGATTTATTTTGAAAATGCAAACATTTAAATTTTTTGTTTAAGTTTAAATTATGTTTTGGGATAAATGATCTCCCCAACTTTTAACAAAATTAAACCTCATTAAAAAAAAAATACATTTATTATCTTTTAGATTTGATTGCCTCTGTTTATATTTATAACTGTTTTTATTGTGAAATTAAACTTTTTTTTTAATGAGAAATAGGCATGGGCAGATAAAGACAAGTGGAGGCCCTAAGTGGTAAACACTCCGAGGATACTCTAAAAAAAAAAATTAACATTTTGTTTTTTAGAATTATTCATAATTTTATACAGATAGTTTTTATAACTTTTTGGGTCAAAGATCCTAAAATCCTACTGTACTGATAGAAGATACAAATAATAAGCTGCAATTAGCTCTAGTTGAATGGCAGGAAGAGATCCTCTGTAAGAGCACAGAGATGTTTGCAAGAAAACTGAAAGACATATTTACAAGTCTGTCTTGGACTAGACATGCAGGCCAGGTGGGTGACAGGTGCTGAGATGAAATTCCTGCTTAGAGCCGTTGGAAAGACTAAGAGGGTTTGAATCTTGAGGTCCTTTGCTATCCTTTTTGTTTTTATTCTGAGGAGTGTTAAAATGTGTATGTTTATTTTTTTCTTAATAATTATGTTCAGTAAGAAGTTACACATATTTATTCCTCATCCTAGATTTTTTAGAGTTGTTGATTATCGTTGGAATCAATTAATCAAATTTGGTTTCTCAATAACAAAAGAATAAGAACATTTTTATTTAATAAATCTTTTGTGTGATGATTTATTTTTTATGCTCAATAAAATTAAACTCCATGTATATTTTTGTTTAAAGGCTTGTCTGATTGGAGATTTAGATGGTGGAGGAAGTTCTTCAGGAGAAAATCCAAATAACTCAATCCTTCCTCAGGCTACAGAAAAAGAATTCATTCTTCGTGCTACAGCTCCTCGGCCTCACAGACATTCTCGACCTACCCCGCAGCGACTTCATGTGCGGGTTTCTAAAACAGACATATCCATGGCTGGAGCCTTTACCCAAGATAAAACATTTTTTTAAATATTCTTAACTTAATTAATATTCTGGAGGGGAAATAATCATTTTATTTTATTTTTTATAAATAAATAATTTTTAATAATCTTGTTAGATAAAATATATTTTATTGTTATTACTTTATATATTTTGTATTTACATATTTGAATCTGTATTTTCATTAATTATAAATAATCAAGTGAGATATCATTGCACAAATATACAAAAAAAATTGTGTATGTTATTCCTGAAGTTTATTCTTCAATTATAATTAAAATCATATTCATTTCAATTATGTATCATTGTTATTATATAAATCGCTTGTTACATGATTTTTGTTGCTGGGTTATCTAACTACTACACAGTAGGACCACGAATTGATGTAACCGATATGGCATGAAACTTTTAACTGAGTATTACCACTAAATAAACATGTGTTCATTGCTATTATTAGCTCACTTATTAACTGGTAACAATTAGTGAATGATATTTTTAAACATAAGTCGTTAATCATTTAAATAAGTATTAAGGTTAAAACGGTGTAGGTATTAAGTTGATCAGTAATATACTTCTATTTCTGTCTTTCTTATAAGTCTTCTAAGTGACTCTAATAGATATAAACCTTTCTTATATTCTGTGTCCTTTTATAATTATCCTAAAAAGTCACAGTATTTTGTTATGTATTGATTGTATTTTTTTTTGTTTACACTTGTAATCTTGTCAACTCAGTATGAGATTAAATATCTTTCTTGAAAATATATTTTTCTTACATTTTAGTTCCATCAACATATAATAATGAAATTAATCTCAAGAAGTTATTTTTTGATATCCTCTTTTTATGAAACTATTCATTCTAAAAATTACCTGGTATGTTCCCGATTTTTTTCTATGCTTATAATAAAAAGTGCCGGTCTTAGACATTCTGCACCCCCGGGAAATAATGTCATCTCCTTCCTCTTAAAGAAATCGAATTAATTTTTTAAGCTGTTTTATATAATGTAATACTTGAATTTTATTTCATGAAACATTTATGTAATACAATTGCTTTATTGATAGGCTAAAACTAATTGTTTTAATACATTTTGTAATTTTTTTTATTTCCTACAAGTGGCCAGCACCAGCACCATTGATTTTATTTAGGAAACAAATTTAAAAAAAAAAAAAGAAAAGAAAAGAGTGTTTTCACTTTCACAGTCATCAAAACAGTTATTAAACCAAAGGAGTTCAGTGATTTAATGAGAAAACAGTTAAAGCTATGATTAACTCAATTAAAAAAAGTGTGAGTTATAGATAGTAGTTCATTTTTAGTTATAGAGAATTAAAAATGCTTTAACATAATTATGAAGGGTTATATATTTACTGTTTGATTTGTGTTTCTAGGTAAATGATGAAGTAGGATATGTCTTAAATATGATATGGTTTCGTTTGTTTCGATGTCTAGGCGCAAAACATCCAGGTCATCAGCGCCCGATCAACTAAATAACACTACTTTTATACTGTTTGGATGGTTGGTACAAAAAATAAAAACAAAAAAAAGGGAAAAAATACATAAAAGGATTGATAGAATAAAATAAATAAATAAAAATAACAATAGACACTTATAGATAATAAGAAAGAATAGATAAATAAATGAACTTTAAAAAAATAGCAATAACATCAATAAATGAATTGAAATTAATAAACAAATGAACTTTTAAAATAATATAAATAAAAAATAATAATAATAATAAATCTACATAGGATCATTAGTTATAAACTTGTCATATGTTATTTAAGTCTTTCATTATCCACGAACTTGATAACTTTGGTAACGATTTCTTCTTGATTTCCCAGGGATGCTGATATATTCTGGAATATTCCGAGATCTTTTAACCTTGCGGTGTAAAAAGGGCACTCTTCCAAAACATATGATATGGTTATTTCTTTCCCAGTGAAATCATATCATATTATTCTATATTAGGGTCATCCTACTTATTACTTATGTATACATCATCCTTATAGTCTTTAGAATCAAGAGTATAAATTGGATTAGCATTGGGGCTATATATTTTTTTTCTTTGGTATTCTTATTTTAAATGGAATTTGTAACTAAACGAATGTGGTGAAGAGATTTTCTGAAGTGTGGAACATATAGTAGGTAATAAGACAAGATTGTTAAACAAATAATTTAAAACAGTTTACTTGCTCATCATAACCTCTAAATATGCCTTAATCGTTAAAACCATTCTCTATTTAAAAATAAATTGTAAATAAAAGAAAGTGTTTAAGAATAATTATACACATTAAAATGGCCATGTCCATGTAGAATATTTAACTAAATAATACTTCATTAGAATTAGTAAGTAATTTTGATCTATTATAAGAAATGCCATGAGTTGCTATTGAAAAGCAGATGACTATTAAAAAAAAAAAAGAATTCTGGAGAAAAAAGTCAAATATAATTAAAGTATAATCTTTTTCAATTTGTTTAGATTAAATGAGAAGTTGAATATCAGAAAAAGGTTGGTTATTGCTTAAAAAGAAAATGTTTGTTAACGGATTTTAAAAAACTAGTTTCAACTACAGAACAAAAGAAAAGTGGTTCAAAAGAATATAAACGTAAAAAAATAAAAATAATTTTTTGCGTTCAATATCGAATATTTCTAACTGAGAGGTGAAAAACCTTTGAATTTCTTGGTATAAATTTTAAAAGCCTGACATTATTCTGCATTAGCAAGGACTCTCCTTGATGTGGTGTGTTACATTTCCCTCTATTATGTTTTTTAAGTATCTTTATGAAGTTAATGATGTACCTCACAAACAAAACCATGTTTTTACAGGCATCAAACAAAATGTCACTCCATGATATTAATGAGCCACCATGGAATACAATCTGAGGTATCAGCATAGCACGTCCCTCCTCTAAAATTATAACTATTTGAAGATTTAAGACCAATCTCACCTCATCTATAAATCAAACTTTTCCCTATCTTCACAGGTTCATGTGCAAACTGATTGATTTGTGAGTTATAGTAAAAAGAGGTTAACAACCTGTGCCAGGCCATTTAGTTATTTTCATTGAGTCATGGTATAAATCTATTGGAAATTAAATCATTTTGGGCCTGTATCATGAGATTTTTTTTTTTTTTAATTTCCAGTGATGCTGTTTTTTAAAACCTTCCAACAGATGTTATGCCAACCTATCTGCTGTTCCTTTTGTTTGTAGATTTCGGTTGATCTTGCTCCGGCTTTATGTTGTGAAGTTCTTTTTCTCTGAAGACAGAAGAAGCCTTATGGGTTGTCAGCTGATTTACAGCCATTATTCAACCCATTTTCCACTGGGTCTACTACCCCAGAGCCTAAACCAAGTCCTAATAGGTGCCAACTTAGTGATAAAATATCAATAAGTAGCAAATAAATAAATAATTCGCAATACAAACGTCAATAAGTGGCATGTAAAGTGTTTTTTATTTTTAAAGTAAACTATTATTATTATAACAAGGGGGTGTCAAAAATGGATCTCGCTCCATCTAAAATTTGTCTCATGTATACTGTGAAAATACCTGACTCGAGCCATTGAAAATAAAATTGAACAACTTTCAAGATTAAGAATAAACTCAAACAAAACCCATGATGGAGAAATAACAAGTGAAAACAGATTATAAGAATAGCAGAATGGAAAAGCATAACAGGATTAATCAGTAAAATAAAGTCAGAAAAGCATTGTTTTACAGCTGATTTTGACTAAAATAACTCCTACTTACCAATAATTCAAGAAAATAGTGCTTATAGATAGATTTGACTTCAAACTAAATAAATTAAATGATGCAGTAATATAAAGTTCCATATAAAACTACTTATAATTTCAAGTCCCGTAAGGAATGACAACAAATAAATATTTGATATTCTGAGCCATTATACAAATAAAATATAAGGGCGTTTTATGTACTTGTACTAACTTCTTATTAAATTATTCATAAAAAAATAGGGAATTTATAATATGATAAGTAGACTGTATTTTAAATTGTTACCCCCTAAAATGTTTCACAATGTATTATTTTATGAAATCCTGGAGCTTTCAATACATAGCACCATATTAGGAATCCTAGTGATTTAATGAAATTTGATTGCGCATTGAAACGTTAACAAAGGTGTACTCATGAGAGGAAAAAGTAATCATGATGAACGAATAGTCTCAACATCAACGAATTTGAATCAGAAAGAAATTATAAGCATTTTAATACCTCTTAGAAAAAGAATCTAATAAATTACATTGTCTGGGCAGACCTAAGAAAAGAAGGCTCACAGGTACCTCTGCTTTTAAATATAGCCATACATAGATTATTGCAATATTTAATCTGTATAACGGGAAACCAGTAAGAGTAAGATCTTAGGGAAGACAAAAATTGAGAAGGAGGGATAGATCTTCGAGGTTTTTGAGAACATATGGTATCTCTATCACTTAAGTTGAGATTAGTGAGGATTTGGGATTAGTGAGAATGAATTTAACTACACCAAGAACTACTCCATGCGTCTGTCTAGTCCAGGACTCTCCGAAATATGGCCCGTGGGCTGAATTCAGCCTGCAAAAACTTTCAATCCAGCCCGTAAATGTTTCTTTGATTACATGGTAAAATTTTAAAACTATTTAAAAATATGAAATTTATTGAATCTCTCTAAGCAAACTCATTTCACAACTGATGTGTTATTTATTGGACAAGATTATTTTTTTCATCATAAGCCATGGCTCCTGGGACTTAGTGGAGGTCTCAATGAGGCCTGCAGAATTTGATGGGGGTCTGATGTGGGCTGTTGGAAAGTTTTGAGACACCTGGTCTAGCCAGTAATGTAATGTTTTGTTCATATTTTAACCCAGTAGAAAAATGCAGATTTTCATTATAAATCCGTTGATTGTAATAACTCAATTAAAAAAAAGTGTCACCTAGTTTTTTTTTCCAATCCTTCAGTTGGAAATGACCAGTTTTCTTGGTGAATTTAGATTTTTCAAGATTATATAAAATATGTTTACCAAACAATTATTTGTGGAGGTTATTAAGCTAAAAGGATAGGTTTTTTAGATAACTATGATTTACTGAACAACTGGACATTCACTGACAAAACTAATATGAAAAATACATGTGGTAAATGGTTGTAAGAAATGTTTTTATAATAATAATAATAATGATAAACCAAACAACTCCTCCCTCCTTATTCATGAAAGGGTTCCTTTTTCATTGTCTTTTTCAAACTGCGAAGCTGGTCCACATGCAGCCTGTGTATGTTACAACAACTCTATTATAAACCCAACTGAGTATTCAGAGTTAAAGTAAAAAAAAAAAAAACATCAGAGAAAATTTTTTTATAACCTTCTGTTTTCAAACACTTATTTTTTCTTTTGCAGGAATTTTTCAGTATTCTTCAAAATTAAATTTCTTGTTCTTTTACTGTAAAAATAAATTTAAGAATCTCTCCATAATTTTATACAGATTACAAAAACATCACCAAGTAATATTGCTTATAATTTTATGGTAATTTTAATTAAACAATTGCTCCATAGAATGGTAAATTATAAAAATATTTTTAAATAGGTGATTATGACTATATTTGTTTTTTTTATTTATTGTTGAATGTTTTTGAAAATGGCTTTTTAGGGCCGAAACGCTAAAATAATGAGAAAATCAAAATTCTCATTAAAAATATTTTTTGCTTATAAAATAAAAACTGTGAGATTAAAAGAAGTCTATTTGTATAAATATTAATCATGTACTGATTAGATATAATAATAATTATTATTTTTTTTAT